TATGATAAAATTCATTTCAGAATGGTTGGAATCCCTGTTTTGTAAAAGTTGTTTTTAAATGGAAAATGTGTTGAAATGCATTAATTATAGTTTTATAGTGAAAATATGAAAATATTATAAAACTTATATTCAGGAGGGGTGGACTTAATATTTTGTAAAAGTTGTTTTTTAAGTGGAAAATGTGTTCAAATACATTAATTAGTCTTTTGGTGAAAATGTGGAAATATGATAACATTTATTTTCAGGGGATTGGAATCCTTACTTTCGTAAAAGTTGTTTTTTAAATGGAAAATGTGTTGAAATGCATTAATTATACTCTTTTCGTGAAAATATGGAATTATGATAAAAAAAAATTTTTGGGGGTTGACTCGACTTTTTGTAAAACTACTTTTCGATGTGGAAAATGTGTTCAAATGCATGAATTATAATAATTTGATGAAAATAAGGAAATATGATAGAATTCATTTTTAAAGCGGTGGAATCCTTACTTTCGTAAAAGTTGTTTTAAAGTGGAAAATGTGTTGAAATGCATTAATTATAATCTTTTAATGAAAATATGGAAATATGATAAAATTCATTTTCAGGTGGGAATCTATTATTTGTAAAACTCTTTTTGATGTGGAAAATGTGTTCAAATGCATGAATTATAGTCTTTTGATTAAAATATGGAAATATGATAAAATTTATTTTCAGAATTGTTGGAATCCTACTTTAAAAGTTGTTTTTAAATGGAAAATGTGTTGAAATGCATTAATTATAGTTTTATAGTGAAAATATGAAAATATTATAAAACTTATATTCAGGAGGGGATGGACTTAATATTTTGTAAAAGTTGTTTTTAATGGAAAATTTGTTCAAATACATTAATTAATCTTTTGGTGAAAATGTGGAAATATGATAACATTCATTTTCAGAATGGTTGGAATCCTACTTTCGTAAAAGTTGTTTTAAGTGGAAAATTGTTGAAATGCATTAATTATAATATTTTAATGAAAAATGGAAATATAATTAAATTCATTTTCAGAATGGTTGGAATCCCTGTTTTGTAAAAGTTGTTTTCAAATGGAAAATGTGTTAAAATACATTAATTAAAGTTTTGTAGTGAAATATGAAAATATTATAAAACTTATATTCAGGAGGGGGGATGGACTTAATTTTTTGTAAAAGTTGTTTTTTAAGTGGAAAATGTGTTCAAATGCATTAATTAGTCTTTTGGTAAAAATGTGGAAATATGATAACATTTATTTTCAGGGGATTGGAATCCCTACTTTCGTAAAAGTTGTTTTTTAAATGAAAAATGTGTTGAAATGAATTAATTATAGTCTTTTGGTGAAAATATGGAATTATGATAAAATTAAATTTCGGGGGGGGTTGACTCGAGTTTTTGTAAAACTAAAACTAAATTAATGTATTTGAACACATTTTGGAAAATATGTTCAAATACATTAATTAGTCTTTTGGTACATGTCATCATTAACTATTTTCATACATGTCATCATTAAGTATTTGGTTCATACATGTCATTAAATAGTTGGTTCATACATGTCATCATTAAATAGTTGGTTCATACATGTCATTAAATAGTTGGTTCATACATGTCATCATTAAATAGTTGGCTCATACATGTCATCATTAAGTATTTGGTTCATACATGTCATCATTAAATAGTTGGTTCATACATGTCATCATTAAGTATTTGGTTCATACATGTCATTAAATAGTTGGTTGATACATGTCATCATTAAATAGTTGGTTCATACATGTCATTAAATAGTTGGTTCATACATGTCATCATTAAATAGTTGGTTTATACATGTCATCATTGGGTACTTGGTTCATACATGTCATTATTAAGTATTTGGTTCATACATGTCATTAAATAGTTGGTTCATACATGTCATCATTAAATAGTTGGTTCATACATGTCATCATTAAGTATTTGTTTCAAACATGTCATTAAATAGTTGGTTCATACATGTCATTAAATAGTTGCTTCATACATGTCATCATTAAATAATTGGTTCATACATGTCATTAAATAGTTGGTTCATACATGTCATCATTAAATAGTTGGTTCATACATGTCATCATTAGGTACTTGGTTCATACATGTCATCATTAAGTATTTGGTTCATACTTGTCATTAAATAGTTGGTTCATACATGTCATTAAATAGTGGGTTCATACATGTCATCATTAAATAGTTGGTTCATACATGTCATTATTAGGTAATTGGTTCATACATGTCATCATTAAGTATTTGGTTCATACATGTCATTAAATAGTTGGTTCATACATGTCATTTAATAGTTTGTTCATACATGTCATCATTAGGTACTTGGTTCATACATGTCATAATTAAGTATTTGGTTCATACATGTCATCATTAAATAGTTGGTTCATACATGTCATCATTAAATAGTTGGTTCATACATGTCATTAAATAGTTGGTTCATACATGTCATCATCAAATAGTTGGTTCATACATGTCATTAAATAGTTGGTTCATACATGTCATTAAATAGTTGGTTCATACATGTCATCATTAAATAGTTTGTTCATACATGTCATCATTAGATACTTGGTTCATACATGTCATCATTAAGTATTTGGTTCATACATGTCATCATTAAATAGTTGGTTCATACATGTCATTAAATAGTTGGTTCATACATGTCATCATTAAATAGTTGGTTCATACATGTCATTAAATAGTTGGTTCATACATGTCATCATTAAATAGTTGGTTCATACATGTCATTAAATAGTTGGTTCATACATGTCATCATTAAATAGTTGGTTCATACATGTCATCATTAAATAGTTGGTTCATACATGTCATCATTAAGTATTTGGTTCATACATGTCATCATTAAATAGTTGGTTCATACATGTCATCATTAAATAGTTGGTTCATACATGTCATCATTAGGTATTTGGTTCATACATGTCATCATTAAGTTCTTGGTTCATACATGTCATTAAATAGTTGGTTCATACATGTCATCATTAAATAGTTGGTTCATACATGTCATCATTAGGTACTTGGTTCATACATGTCATCATTATGTATTTGGTTCATACATGTCATTAAATAGTTGGTTCATACATGTCATTAAATAGTTGGTTCATACATGTCATCATTAAATAGTTGGTTCATACATGTCATTAAATAGTTGGTTCATACATGTCATCATTAAATAGTTGGTTCATACATGTCATCATTAAGTATTTGGTTCATATATGTCATTAAATAGTTGGTTCATACATGTCATCATTAAATAGTTGGTTCATATATGTTATCATTAGGTACTTGGTTCATACATGTCATCATTAAGTATTTGGTTCATACATGTCATTAAATAGTTGGTTCATACATGTCATCATTAAATAGTTGGTTCATACATGTCATTAAATAGTTGGTTCATACATGTCATCATTAAATAGTTGGTTCATACATGTCATCATTAAATAGTTGGTTCATACATGTCATTAAATAGTTGGTTCATACATGTCATCATTAAATAGTTGGTTCATATATGTCATCATTAAATAGTTGCTTCATACATGTCATCATTAAATAGTTTGTTCATATATGTTATCATTAGGTACTTGGTTCATACATGTCATCATTAAGTATTTGGTTCATACATGTCATTAAATAGTTGGTTCATACATGTCATTAAATAGTTGGTTCATACATGTCATTAAATAGTTGGTTCATACATGTCATCATTAGGTACTTGGTTCATACATGTCATCATTAAGTATTTGGTTCATACATGTCATCATTAAATAGTTGGTTCATACATGTCATCATTAAATAGATTGTTCATACATGTCATCATTAAGTATTTGGTTCATATATGTCATGAAATAGTTGGTTCATACATGTCATCATTAAATAGTTGGTTCATATATGTTATCATTAGGTACTTGGTTCATACATGTCATCATTAAGTATTTGGTTCATACATGTCATTAAATAGTTGGTTCATACATGTCATCATTAAATAGTTGGTTCATACATGTCATTAAATAGTTGGTTCATACATGTCATCATTAAATAGTTGGTTCATATATGTCATCATTAAATAGTTGGTTCATACATGTCATTAAATAGTTGGTTCATACATGTCATCATTAAATAGTTGGTTCATACATGTCATTAAATAGTTGGTTCATACATGCCATCATTAAATAGTTGGTTCATACATGTCATTAAATAGTTGGTTCATACATGTCATCATTAAATAGTTGGTTCATCGTGTCATCATTAAATAGTTGGTTCATATATGTTATCATTAGGTACTTGGTTCATACATGTCATCATTAAGTATTTGGTTCATACATGTCATTAAATAGTTGGTTCATACATGTCATCATTAAACAGTTGGTTCATACATGTCATTAAATAGTTGGTTCATACATGTCATCATTAGGTACTTGGTTCATACATGTCATCATTAAGTATTTGGTTCATACATGTCATCATTAAATAGTTGGTTCATACATGTCATCATTAAATAGTTGGTTCATACATGTCATCATTAAGTATTTGGTTCATATATGTCATTAAATAGTTGGTTCATACATGTCATCATTAAATAGTTGGTTCATATATGTTATCATTAGGTACTTGGTTCATACATGTCATCATTAAGTATTTGGTTCATACATGTCATTAAATAGTTCATACATGTCATCATTAAATAGTTGGTTCATACATGTCATCATTAGGTACTTGGTTCATACATGTCATCATTAAGTATTTGGTTCATACATGTCATTAAATAGTTGGTTTATACATGTCATCATTAAATAGTTGGTTCATACATGTCATTAAATAGTTGGTTCATACATGTCATCATTAAATAGTTGGTTCATACATGTCATCATTAAATAGTTGGTTCATACATGTCATCATTAAATAGTTGGTTCATACATGTCATTAAATTTCTGGCATGAGCCAAGAAAACACTCACCATTTTCCACATAAGCTTTCAGCAAGAATAGCAATCATTTTTTCAACTGAACCTACAATAGCTCGATGAATAATAACAGGATGTAATTTTATATCTCCTTCACCACTGTCAATAGAGTAATAGAATATTGATAAATTACTAAATTGTTACAATTTGTAAAGATCTACAATTTCATGGAAACTTAAACTGTGCCGTAATCCTCTGACTATAATACACAGGCTTACATATGTTTGTGAGCCATTATCAATGATATTTACATGGGGGGGATGGATGCACAGGGATACATGCATGGACTATTAACTATTATTATGCAATTATCTGTTAACATTGCAATATTAAATGTAACTATATACTTATATGCGGGTGGGTTTGTTTGCGGGCGAGTTTGAATGCAGGTGGGACTTTCAGTGTTCAGCAATGTAGCAGGCTGCATATAAGTATATAGTATATATAAGCATATAAATATATAACAACAGGTTTCTATAGAAACAAATAACATGTCACTGTTGGTTAAATAAATTAAGTATCAAGACCATAGTGAGGTTATTCAACGAAAAGCTTACTGGCAAAACTTACCTAGCGTGAGGTTGAATCTCTCAGGAAGTTGGAAATCCAGTTCAATTGTTGCACATTGATGAGACCATCTCATAGCATCAAGAATTTTTATATTAATCTATAAATTGTGATAGCAATGAAATTATAAATTCACAATGGTATACATCTGTAAACATAGAAAGCTTCATCCCCCATCCCCAGGAATTATCTGCCGTTTTTGACCAAAATTATTCAAAGCTTCCATCAGTTTCTAATGAAGCATAAAACAAACTCATTTATTTAAACAATTAAAAATATTATCAATCATTTAACATTTTCGATATTTATGACAAGACAGCTGAAAACATTGTAAAGACTGCATTTATGTTCGCTGTGAACAAATTTCCTCCCTTTTGGGAGGTAAACAAACCAATCTGTATGTCAAATCAACAAATGAAAACATTCTATATTTTATTTCATTCTTGAATAACTGTCTATATCTTTGATATCCATAAAGAGGAATTGCACACGATGAAACAAATGTAACTTGATTAAATAGTTCATTGGTTTCAACCATTGAGTTGTAATGTTTGAAATGTTCAAGGTTAGAAGCCATCTTGATTTCAGCAAGCGGAGACTGAACCGAGTTAATATTTTAGTTGCAATATTAACAAATACTAAATAAAATCAATTACAAGAAAACAAAAACAATGCTGAACCAAAATTGTTAAAGAACATATTTTAAGTAAAAACGACTCATGCAAGGTAACTCAAATGTTCAACTTATGATGGTGAAAATATAAAAAAAACATGGAGATAAAATAAAGCATGACAATCAATAGATCTTCACTTAGGTAATAATAGCTGCATATCCAAATTTATAAACAGTGTGTGAAGCACTGACTAAAACATTTTGGCAATCAAATGCACTTGAAAGCCCTGGCAGATTAGCTAAAGTCCCTCGGTGCTACAAGTCTTGTGACTTTTACTACAAAATCTCCCTTGGCTTTCAAGTACATTTAATCACTAAGTTACCTCACTACCGTGCATCGTTTTACTTATAAAATATTGCACACGCTAGCTAAAATGTAGATCCCATTAACTACATACATGTATGGTCTTATATGAGCCAGTTTTAAATACTCAAAGAATATTTAGGCAATCAGAGAGTAAAATATTTTTACCTTACTCTGAACAAAACAGTTTTTCTTGTGAGTCTTTTTATCGCAGGGATACGTCGGTATAAAATTCTTATCACCAAAATGTTTCAAATTCCAAATTGGTGAAGTGTTGACTGTGTAGTAAGCTGGTCGATACAACTCATACGCAACGCATCGATTTGCTGTTTAAAATCATGATAGAACTCATGCAGATAGATTGGTTTCACATAGCCAGAATAACAACCAATAACTGTTAGCTTCCAGAACAATTCAGTGAATTCACCACAAATGTCAGTCTGCTACGTGAAGATAGTTCTCTTGCATATGCCTCAAGTCTTTTTTTACGCTTCCGAATTGCATCCTTGAACGCCTTATTTTATATAGTTCAGCAAACATTTACCTATTCTTGCCATAAAATGATTAAGTGTGCTCCAAGTTGACTGAAAATAAAATTGTTCAGAATACGCCATTTTGAAAGCATGTCTATAATTATCCACTATCATCCATTGTAACCACTATCAACATCTTAATGTCATTGGTCAAAAATAGTCACATTTTTTATTTACTTTTGCCTTTCATTCATGTTATTTCTAGATATGAATTTTCTTATTCGTCCATAGTTCAATCAATAATAAAAAAATATTTATTGTAAATTTTATTATAGCAAATGAACGTGACGCCAAGAGTTTGTAAATTACATGCAATTTTTCGTCGTGGTATAGTGAACTATCTATCTCGACCTTATTTAAACCTGAACATTTTTTATAGTCGTTATATGCATCAATGCATTAATTATAGTCGTTTGATGAAAATATGGAAATAAGATAAAATTCTTTTTTAAGGGGGGGTGACTCGATTTTTCTAAAAGTTCTTTTGGATGTGGAAAATGTGTTCAAATGCATGAATTATAGTCTTTTGGTAAAATAATGGAACTAACATTAAATTCATTTTCAGGGGGGGTGGAATCCCTATTTCTATAAAAGTTCTTTTTGTTGTGGAAAATGTGTTCAAATGCATGAATTATAGTCTTTTGGTGAAAGTATGGAAATATTATAAAATTCATTTTCAGGGGGGTGGACTCGATTATTTTGTCAAAGTTCTTTTTGATGTGGAAAATGTGTTCAAATACATGAATTATAGTCTTTTGGTGAAATTATGGAAATATTATAAAATTCATTTTCAGGTGGAAGGGGTGGAATCCTCATTTTTCTAAAAGTTGTTTTTTAAGTGGAAAATGTGTTGGAATGCATTAATTATAGTGTTTTCGTGAAAGGTCAATTTCATTTTGGCTTGGTCAAAGTCAGTTTTTGTATCGTCACATTAATATACATAATTTTCGTCGATAATATGAAAAAACATTTTTAACTAAGCGCTTCCGACATCACTACGCACGGTCTCATTATAATATTGAAATCCTCATTACCCAAAGCTGACCACGACACACTTTACGAGAACGGAATCGTAACCTTCAATGCAACAAGCCCCTAGCCAGCAAATACTTACTAGAGAAAGCATGGTTTTTACGTATGTAAAAAATTGACGCTCAATATTGCAAAAACATATTGAAAGGAAAGCCGAATAATAAATTATTATGGGAAAACTGAAAATGTTACCGATACATAGGTATTTTTGAAAATCATTGTCCGTTGCCTGGCCGTTATTTTGAGCCCTGTTCTTTTTGCTTAGTTAACTCAATTTTTAACAAGGTATTGTTATCTTAATGCAGTTAAGAGGTAAGGTATGATTGTCACACATTTCTTATTAATTTGCACTCAGGCGAATGAGATGTTACTCGTTGGAAAAGAAACTGACTGCGGTCGAAGCTTGTAACTACGGTTTGGTAACAGAAGTTATTCCTCAAGCCGAAATTGAAAAAGAAATTAACAACAGAATGAAATACATGGCTGCGTTGCCGCCGAAGGTAGCACAAATCTGGACTTTACCGTTATTGCTTCGTTTCATTTAACCATACAATGCTTCTCTCCATTGCAGTCGCTCTCATTGTCCAAGAAATTATGTTGCTCAGTTGAGCTGGAGAAACTTCACGATGTGAATAATAAAGAATGCGAAGTGCTTGCTCAAAATGGCTCTCGGAGGAATGCGCGCAAGCAGTGATGACTTTTACAACGCAAATCAAAAATGTAGTTGAAACATTAAGTTGATTCTTGTTTATGAAATGTTCGATGCATTTTCTTTCTGTGTATGTTATTCAGTTTGATAAAAACCATTTCCACCAAAGTGTTAAGCGTACAAAAGCATCTGCGCAAACATCTACTTGATGTCACGTGACAACATGTTAATTAATGACACTTATTTTTAAACAACTGCATCAATTTTCAACAAATGCGCAAGAAAATAAGGTTATCGCGACTAAGAAGTCCGTTACGCCAGCAGTAAACACTGAAGTCTCAATGACTTGAACGATACAGAACGAGTGTTCGAAATTTTCCAGCAAAGTTTTTGCTATGTTTTGGAACTTGATTCAAAACGCAATTTTTTCCTCAAAGTAAAGATTTTAAAAATCGTGGTTAAATGAACGAATATGTTTTGTTATTCAACTCAAGTTACGAATGATTTACACCAACAACGCTACAAATTCCGCTGCGTAAAGGTTACAAACGGATCATTGGGGGACACAATATCCTATATGTACAACAAATATTTGCACGCGCTATAAGTCCGATCGCAAGTATACCTGGATGGTAAGCCATTCCTGTAAGCTCGTCCACCATCTTCTTACGATGCCATGTTGCTGATGTACTTTTGAAACAAATCGCGTTCCTCGTGATTTTTATCCTCAAGTTCTTGTATATTACCGTTGACCATCAACGTCTGTTTCTCGAAGGCACTACAATATTAAATATGCTGCTTTACTATTTGCTGACATGGGATTTTTCAAAGTTCGAAACTGTAAATGTTTTCATCATCTTCGACGTGAACGTCCATGAATAACAATAGAAATCTATTGCATTTTCAAAGGTCCCGTGTCCTCTCTCTAGTTGCTAAGCTCCGCCCACCCCTTCCTCTCCTTTCCAATAGTGCCCAATCTCTCCCTCGTAAAATAGACACACAAACCTGTCTAGAAACTAGTGAAGATCTCGCCAAAAGTGAATTGAGCTCCTCCTCGAAATGTTTGAAAGATAAAATTTCTGCGACAATTCCGCGTTCCTTTGCCATGTCGCAGTCGAGTTTCGTGTTGCATAGAATAACAGACATTGCCTGATTTAAAGGAAATTCACCGTAAGACAAAATGAATTTTTTAAAGCATCTCGGTTCTTTATAAAACAACAATTATGTTTCACGATACACTTTTTAAGGCGGGGTAGGGATAGGGAGTAAAGCATTTTGGGAACTTAGATAAAGCTATTCGTAGTTTTAATTACTTTTCAATCTCACAGTTAATTTTAACACCTCAGAACATAACACATCCTCTCAGGTTCAAGAAAAGAAAACATTTTAATGTTTATATAAAGTGATCAATAGGCGTGGATACAACTCAAATACATAACATGGCAAAATATGACCTAGTGCCCAGGCCTCCGTTTAATATAAACAAGTCACGTGTACCTGTGAATGACCAAATAAATTAGGTACAGTTAGAGAGCAACATCCAACTGGAGGATGACCCAACTCCACAAACTTCGTTTGAAAAGTTGCCTTTAAAAAACACGACGAATATGTCAACTGAAATAAAAATTACGTAATGTTGTACTGAGGAGTCACTAGGAGTCACTAAGGAGTCACTAAGATCAGTTCTTACCAAACTGGAAACATTGGTCTATAAACAAGAAGAAGCGTTATGAATACGTTCCGCTTTCGCGCATGTATATTTACTTTTCATAATTGGAAAGGTCGTCGTTTAATTAGATTCGTGCTCAGTTACAATTGGTTTTTCTATGAAATTAGATTGTCCCCGCTATATAATTTGAATTAGAATTTTAGCAAATTGTGAAGTTGTTTCAAAGTAGTTTGCCACCTACTTCGAACTGCTGAGCACAAAGTAATTTTGCTAACTCGCAATGACTGTTCATGCGTCTATTTCTATAATACTATAGTTCATGCGACTTAAACGATCTCATGACACCGTTGAAATAAATGAAATGGTAATCGAGTTCCATCGGTTCTAATCGCTAATAAAGCGCTCGCAAGAAAAATGTTTCGTTTGATCATAGTGTGTGTGTCATCGTGGGGGTAACTTCATATGCTGAAAAGACAGTTAAATTTTCCATGCACCTAACTCCCAAAGACTATAGCTAATGTGTCTATTTCACAAAGACTTTAGTTCATGCACCTAAAGGCTATAAAATCTATATATATGTATATTGTTCGTGCATCTTAACAATATAGTTCATGTACCTAACTCCCAAAGACTATAGTTCACAAACTTAACTTTCAAAGAATATCTTTCACACACCCAACTTCAAAGACTAAACTCCCAAAATTCTTCTTCATGCACCTAAACTCGGAACGACTATAGTTCATACACCTAACTCCCAAAGACTATATTTCACGCACGTAACTCGCAAAGACTATAAGATCATGCGTCTATTTCCCAAAGAGTTTAGTTCATGCAACTAACACCAAAGAAAATAGTTAATGTATCTAATTACCAAAGACTATAGTTCATGCACCTTACTCCGAAGGACTATAGTTCATGAAAGAGCTCCCAAAGACTATAGTTCATGCACCTAACATCCAAAGACTATAGTTAAAGCACTTAAATTCCAAAACTTATATTTCACGCACCTAAATCTCAAAGATTGTTCATGCGTTTATTTCCCACTTATTGAACTCACTTGATTGGTGAATTGTATTTTCCCATGTTTTCAAAACTTTCTTAAAGGTCGTACATTCCAATTCTTGTTCTTAATTCCAGGATCACATACATATGAACTATTGACCAGACAAAATCATGATATCTAATTACAATGTGACATCACTCTTCACATCCATACCATTAGACATAGCCAAACAACACAACTAGACAAATAAAATCCTAGACTTACTCAACCTTTGCCTCTCCACTGAATTCTTCTTCTAAAACTCATACTATAGACAACTTTCAGCGAATCAATGGGGTCACCACTATACACCTTCCTCGCAAAAGCTGTCGTGCAAAACCTCGAAACACAATCAGTCACCAACAGCACAGATGAAACAGACAGACTATGGAATAGATATAAAGACGATATCTTTGCCATAGTCAAGAAAGCCAAAACTGGACAAATGCTACACACCATAAAAATACTACAAAGAAGATAACCTTCACTAAAGACAAAAAACACAACAAGACTAAACAAACAAGTATACGGCATAAATACCCTTACAGACCAAATACTTGATTTCAACCGTAATCATTCCACACAACACAAAATAAGCAACATTCGAACACTTTTCAACAGAATTAACACTCACTGCAGCACAGAAGAAGCCAAAAAACAGAACGCAACTACTTGTTCTCATTTATAAAAACTAGTTACCCTATAGAAACTTTATAGACGAAACTATAAGCAAAATCAGTCAGAACTTTACTACTAACGGACACCTCCCGAAAGCAGACACTGCTATTAGGTCCCTGCCAATACTCTTACTATTAACTTATTTACAACCTCTCATAAGCAGACACCAAAACAATCTTCAAACAATTCTGTAGTGTTTATGGTGTTTCGAAAGTTCACTTTAGGGGTGGTCATGGGAGAAAAATTTACATGAGTTTAATATTTACTGAGGAAATTACCATACACCAGCTATGGTCAAATGGCAATTTTGCACAAATTAACAAATATTCGTGGCAGAGATTGAATTTTTATATTTTCGTTGTTTCAAGAAATTTACATTGTTTTTGCTGGCATACGATAGAACATATTTCGCATACCTTCCTCCTAAACCCACTTTCCGTCATATTTTGCCGTTTAGTGTGCATTTCATAGCCGAATCTTATAACTTAGATATTTCATACAGGGACAATCCTTCACCATTGATAAGTGTCGTCGCTTTTGTGCTCGATAAATCCCGCTTCGAAAAAATATAGATATGACGATATATTTTCGGATATTTTGGGGGTTTTTTTGTAGTGTTGTTCGCAATGATTCATAAATAGATCAAATTGAACCTTAGCCGACAATTACCCCGCACGTGTGATTGGGTCAAGATTGTCTGTCTAATACATTGTATACAGAACCATTTAAAAACCGCTATAAAGCTATTAAAACCAACAAAACACAATTAAAAACTATGTATAATAACTATATATATCGTAACAACGAATATTTTCATATTTTTCGATATTTTCGGTACATCGATATATCGATATACCGAAAAACCAATATCGATAAACCGATATTTAAAACCCCGATATTTATCGATAATTCGATATGTCGCAACAGCCTACCTCGCAAGAGCCTTTATCGTCGTAAACATGCTTGGACTCATTCATGTTTTCAGTGGTTGACGAGTCCTCATCCAAAACTCTCGAGCGTATGCTAGGTGCTTCAACTACGTTCAATTTCATCAAGCTATCTTCAACCTGGCGTCGTTGTTTCTCTTCTGCCATGCTTGATTTTGTTTCAATGTTGGAAGTTTCATTTTCAAGCAGTTCTTCTACCTCGATCTACGAATTATAATATCTGTCATAAATATTAAAGCAGTTTGTTTATGTAGAAAATATGCAGACACAAAGTTATGAAGAGAAAAAAACATCTTTAACATTGTCACGGATATTACGAGGGGCATAACAAAGTGTTGATGAGTTTGACTAATTCTACGTTTATAAGAAACTTTTAAACAATTCTAACCCTAACCTTAACACTTACACTAACCATAATCTAACCCTGACCTAATCCATACCCTAACCATTGAACCAATGTATGAACTGTAGTCAATTGTAGTCACATTATAAAGCCTACTTCCTATTGTTTTTGGAGTTCAATGTGCATTCTAATCTTTCGTTTCAAATCCGCATTTTATTCTTGTAATCTTGTAGCCCATATTCTTGCAAGCATTTCTCAAATGGATATTCACAAATGGAGACTCGACAAGATATGCTAATTGCTAATTTTTTCACCAAACAAAAATTTGTCACAGTCTGTTACGGGTCTTGCAGCTGACATATGAAATGTTTGTAAGTGTGGCAGGAAAATTACATTTATATAGCTACTCTTTGTTTTGCTATGTTAAGCATCACACAATAACAAGAAAACGAATGAGGAATTGGTCACATTTACCACTAAAACAGTAAAATTCTAGAGCTCCAGTACGAATAGCAAATGACTGTCAAAACGAGGGACGATCTTGGCCCACTGCGATAATATTTTACCAAATGAAGGGAATTCCACAAAACATGTCCATTTGGACATATTATACAAGTGCACATGTGTCAACTAACCCTGGTTTAACCAAGGTTTGCGTTAAATACGACGCTTTATATTTTTCATCGCTGTAGTATGAACTACTTTGTTGATAAATATATAGTAATTCTGCGAGTAAAATATCTTTACCTTCCTCTGCACAACAAAGTTTTTCTTGTATCAACGCACACAGCCTCCTACTAGCTCAAGAAACAAGCCAAAATATGAAAGAGAAGCGATCTCGTTTGAGTGAAAACTTGATGGTAAAAGTTGAAAAGTTGCTGATGGTTATCGCCATAAATTACCAATGGAAGAATTTACCACCACGATAAAATCAATATTACCACCACTGATAAAGTATTAGTGACCAATGCCGCCAGTTTGCCAGTGACCAGTGGCATGTACGCGTACCTATTTTTCTATAATTGCGACGCATCATGGGATTTACATTCAAATTTATTTTTGTGAGTAAATTCATTTTATCTTTACCATAAAAATGTTGTTTTACTTCAAAAATCTTCGCTTGTCAGACTTCGTGAGCTGACTAAATCTCGCAAGCGTTCGATCACGGCCATGACCGATTTTTCACCGAGTACTTTGTTGTCACGTGTTCTGACGTTGACCGTGTCTGAGACCGTCTCTTTTTCACCAACAACTGTTTAAAAAACAACATAAAACCATTTAACCAATCGCATTTAGTAATAAAATGAACATCTATTTTGCTTTTAAAATAGACAACACTTAAAAGACAATGAACACAAAACAAACAAACAAAAACACAAACAATCCAACAACAGCAAACGATAATACCTTACATTTTACAACTCGCACATCAACTGACTACCAAGAACAACGAGTACTGACAAGTGAGCATCACAATGCACAACATTACAAACAGCACTGACTATAGACAACGACTTACGTTAGAAAGTAGGTTAACAAACTCAAAACAAAATCATTGAACAGAATACAAATATCAGCACCTTATAAACGGCTTACAAGCGAACAATTAATAAGTATACCACACAAACTAAAACATCCACATATTTTCCTCTCTGTCATGACGTCTAGAGAACAAATACGGCGAACCTGACTAATGTTGTGGAAACGTCAGTAAACTCTGAACACCAACAGTGGTTCCAAACCATTTTAATTTCTATTTATTTGTACAGTAAATAAAAATAATTTAAAAGACTTATTCATACCAAGAATGAAGTTGTACTGTGAAAGTTGTGCATTGCGAACTTTCTTATTTAGTGTTGATCCGTGATCCAAGTCTGTATCAACACGATAACCAGCTGCATGGAACTTCTTTTGAATCTAAACATGACCAAAATGTCAATAAAAAAAGGACAAAAATTCCAATTCATAAAATAGCAACAATTTGTCCATAGCTGAGTTTGCATTAGCCTGTGCAAGTTCGATCTAAGGCTTACCAAATTAAATTTACCGGTTCGGCATAATCATCATATTTACTACTGACAGGAATTACTACAACTTGATGGGGAGAAAGCCATAAAATCCTAGAAAATAACAGAAAATGCAGTGCGTCAAAATTTTGAAATAAAGTAAAGTAGAGTAAAATGATAAAAATTTCCAAACAATTAAGAAACTTTGTATCATTTTAATTTAACATTTTAAGGACATTTCATTTGCTTTAAGCTCTGGCATGAGCCAAGAAAACACTCACCATTTTCCACCAAAGCTTTCAGCAAGAATAGCAATCATTTTTCAACTGAACCTACAATAGCTCGATGAATAATAACAGGATGTAATTTTATATCTCCTTCACCACTGTCAATAGAGTAATAGAATATTGATAAATTACTAAATTGTTACAATTTGTAAAGATCTACAATTTCATGGAAACTTAAACTGTGCCGTAATCCTCTGACTATAATACACAGGCTTACATATGTTTGTGAGCCATTATCAATGATATTTACATGGGGGGGATGGATGCACAGGGATACATGCATGGACTATTAACTATTATATTGCAATTATCTGTTAACATTGCAATATTAAATGTAACTATATACTTATATGGTGGGTTTGTTTTGGCGAGTTTGAATGCAGGTGGGACTTTCAGTGTTCAGCAATGTAGCAGGCTGCATATAAGTATATAGTATATATAAGCATATAAATATATAACAATAGGTTTCTATAGAAACAAATAATCATGTCACTGTTGGTTAAATAAATTAAGTATCAAGACCGTAGTGAGGTTATTCAACGAAAAGCTTACTGGCAAAACTTACCTAGCGTGAGGTTGAATCTCTCAGGAAGTTGGAAATCCAGTTCAATTGTTGCACATTGATGAGACCATCTCATAGCATCAAAAATTTTATATTAATCTATAAATTGTGATAGCAATGAAATTATAAATTCACAATGGTATACATCTGTAAACATAGAAAGCTTCATCCCCATCCCCAGGATTTATCTGCCGTTTTGACCAAAATTATTCAAAGCTTCCATCAGTTTCTAATGAAGCATAAAACAAACTCATTTAGTTAAACAATTAAAAATATTATCAATCATTAAACATTTTCGATATTTATGACAAGACAGCTAAAAAACATTGTAAAGACTGCATTTATGTTCGCTGTGAACAAATTTCCTCCCTTTTGGGAGGTAAACAAACCAATCTGTATGTCAAATCAACAAATGAAAACATTCTATATTTTATTTCATTCTTGAATAACTGTCGATATCTTTGATATCCATAAAGAGGAATTGCACACGATGAAACAAATGTAACTTGATTAAATAGTTCAATGGTTTCAACCATTGAGTTGTAATGTTTGAAATGTTCAAGGTTAGAAGCCATCTTGATTTCAGCAAGCGGAGACTGAAACATGTTAATATTTTAGTTGCAATATTAACAAATACTAAATAAAATCAATTACAAGAAAACAAAACAATGATGAACCAAAATTGTTAAAGAACATATTTTAAGTAAAAGCGACTCATGCAAGGTAACTCAAATGTTCAACTTATGATGGTGAAAATATAAAAACATGGAGATAAAATAAAGCATGACAATCAATAGATCTTCACTTAGGTAATAATAGCTGCAGATCCAAATTTATAAACAGTGTGTGAAGCACTGACTAAAACATTTTGGCAATCAAATGCACTTGAAAGCCCTGGCAGGTTAGCTAAAGTCCCTCGGTGCTACAAGTCTTGTGACTTTTACTACAAAATCTCCCTCGGCTTTCAAGTACATTTAATCACTAAGTTACCTCACTACCGTGCATCGTTTTACTTATAAAAATATTGCACACGCTAGCTAAAATGTAGATCCCATTAACTACATACATGTATGGTCTTATATGAGCCAGTTTTAAATACTCAAAGAATATTTAGGCAATCAGAGAGTAAAATGTTTTACCTTACTCTGAACAAAACAGTTTTTCTTGTGAGTCTTTTTATCGCAGGGATACGTCGGTATAAAATTCTTATCACCAAAATGTTTCAAATTCCAAATTGGTGAAGTGTTGACTGTGTAGTAAGCTGGTCGATACAACTCATACGCAACGCATCGATTTGCTGTTTAAAATCATGATAGAACTCATGCAGATAGATTGGTTTCACATAGCCAGAATAACAACCAATAACTGTTAGCTTCCAGAGCAATTCAGTGAATTCACCACAAATGTCAGTCTGCTACGTGAAGATAGTTCTCTTGCATATGCCTCAAGTCTTTTTTTACGCTTCCGAATTGCATCCTTGAACGCCTTATTTTATACAGTTCAGCCAACATTTACCTATTCTTGCCATAAAATGATTAAGTGTGCTCCAAGTTGACTGAAAATAAAATTGTTCAGCATACGCCATTTTGAAAGCATGTCTATAATTATCCACTATCATCCATTGTAACCACTATCAACATCCTAATGTCATTGGTCAAAAATAGTCACATTTTTATTTACTTTTGCCTTTCATTCATGTCATTTCTAGATATGAATTTTCTTATTCGTCCATAGTTCAATCAATAATAAAAATATTTATTGTAAATTTTATTATAGCAAATGAACGTGACGCCAAGAGTTTGTAAATTACATGCAATTTTTCGTCGTGGTATAGTGAACTATCTATCTCGACCTTATTTAAACCCAGTGAACTCTACAACAACTGGAAGGCTAAATTGGACGCCATCTTTGAAGCCTGCATGAGCGCCGCCATTGAAGGTACGGAGGCGAAATTGCCGAATTTTTTGCAAAAAACAGTGGTCTTCAAGCCAGCTTAATGTCTAAAAATCTTAAACAATGTTTGGAGATTGTTTTTTATCATTTATTGTACGAACATTTTTACTTGCTAAAACTTACATATTACTTGAAGTCGTTTGAGAAGTTCCTTTCTCTTAAATTTATTCTTAAGTTTATCATACATTACATTACAAATGTAAATTTTTTTTTGGGTCTAAGGACATGAGAGTAGAAAACATTGAGGTGTAAAATAATCTCTAAACATGAAAGAAGATGCCGCTACTATACTGGGGAAATGCCAGTAAATTTGATGATCAATTTTCACATGTTTTATACTTGTTGCGAGGTATGTCATTTTGTACGTTTTATGTAAATTTTCGTGAATTAAAAATACTGTGAAAAGTCCCAAATGGATTGCCAGCTGATGAAAAATCATTTTACACCTTAATGATTTCTTCCTCTAAATTGTTTTCATCAGTTACCATGTTGGGGCAAAATTCCATACAGTGAAAAGAATTTCTGCTAATTTTATGCTTTGCTGAGCTTCGACACTCTCATGTACTCTCCCAACATGGCTTATATGACGTCAAAAGAAAACACACTATAGCTACGGTTGAATGAAAACAGCCCCAAACATCATTAAATATTTGTTAAAATTGCGTATATATTATTACGAAACAGCGATTTTGTGCACGTTATGATGACAAATTTCCATATTGCATTGAAAAGCGTATTTCGAAAACATTTATCAAACGCTGACACTTGCTGGCATGGTGACCATGTTTAATTTAAATACATATGCATATTTTAAGCTGACAGTCGTTTCAAAACTACCGATGGATGTTATTTATTCATCACGGCATAAATGCTTTTCAAACAACATTATTATTCTAAAATCATTACTTAATAGAAATTTGTACAACATTATTCCAAAATAGGTGGCAGGAGCCTACTTTGAAATACTTTACCACAAAATTCGTTTTCTAAGTCAGAGAGCGAGGGAACTCTCTGACTTAGTAAGAATACGCCGAATTCAACAGAGTATATATGCTCTCTCAAAATCCAAGATTTCTTAAAAATCTAAAAGATAGCCAAAGAACAAATTAGTGACACAAGAAAAACAAACACATAAACCTGAAAAAAGACTGAAGTCACTAAGCTACAAGTCAGTGAAACAAATAAAAAAATTTTTATACCTCATCTTGCTTTTCATCTTGTTCTCCATCAGCATGCTTCCCGTCTCTCCGTCAGCATCCTCTTCGTCGCTCCATCAGCATCCTCTTCGTCGCTCCATCAGCATCCTCTTCGTCGCTCCATCAGCATCCTCTTCGTTGCTTCATACGCATCCACCTCGTAACGCCATCAGCATCCTCCTCGTAGCACCATCAGCATCCTCCTCGTAGCACCATCAGCATCCTCCTCGTAGCACCATCAGCATCCTCCTCGTAGCGCCATCAGCATCCTCCTCGTAGCACCATCAGCATCCTCCTCGTAGGACCATCAGCATCCTCCTCGCAGGACCATCAGCATCCTCCTCGTAGCGCCATCAGCATCCTCCTCGTAGGACCATCAGCATCCTCTTCGTAGCACCATCAGCATCCTCCTCGTAGCTCCGTCAGCATCTTCCTCGTCTCTCCGTCAGCATCCTCTTCTTTTCATCAGCCTCCTCCTCATCTAAACGAAAAATCTGAAAACAAGTTAAGATTAGGACAGGAAAAAATAATAACGTACTCCTCTATCTTCTTCTTGATCTTCATCTCTTGTACCTAAAAAGACTGAAGAAGAAGTTATTTGTTTGATGGAAACAAACAATTGTAAGCACCACCACTGCCAGAGTTCGCGTTCTTTCACTGTCCGTACGCTCGACATGTCTATAAAATGCAACAACAATATCATGGCAAGTGATTATGGAGATCGTGCTTTCGCATTGTAATAGTTTTATCATGCTAAAACATTGATATCCATGACTGTACATGATTGAACATGTATGTTAAGTGAACAACTCTTTGAAGATTATAACACTCGCGGAAAGCTTATCGTTTGAACCTTGCATTGTGCTGTAACACCCCTCAATGTTACAACACATGCAGTGTTCTGTAACATTGTCAAACGATTTATTACATGCGATATAATTCAAAAATACCTAGATAAAAACAAGATAATTAACGAATGTCTCATGCAATATATTCTCTACTCAAATCTTGTCGATTTCATCCAAAAGGTTGTTTGATTATTACGGTAAGGCACTAAGGTTTATAAAAGACTATCGAGTTTAAAGATTTTGCAACATTCTGCCCGCATGTTGCAATATCAAATGACTTACCTCAATTATATATTAATATACAAATATTCTATGATATATAATCGAGATAATTCACTTGAATTCCTCGTCTCTTCATCTGCATCCTCCTCGTCTCTTCATCTGCATCCTTCTTGTCTCTTCATCTGCATCCTCCTCGTCTTTCCATCTGCATCCTTCTTGTCTCTTCATCTGCATCCTCCTCGTCTCTTCATCTGCATCCTCCTCGTCTTTCCATCTGCATCCTCCTTGTCTCTCCATCTGCATCCTCCTTGTATCTTCATCTGCATCCTCCTCATCTTAACGAAACATCTAAAAATCAAGTTAAGATTATGACAGGAAAAAAATAACATACTTCTCTATCTTCTTCTTGATCATCGTCTCTAGTGCCTAAAAATAGACTGAAGAAGAAGTTATTTGTTTGATGGAAGCAAACAATTGTAAGCACATACCACTGTTAGGGTTCGTGTTTTTCATTGTCCGTTAGCCCGACATGTCCACATAAATGCAACAAAAATTGTTGAATGAAAATCATAGCAAGTGATTATGGAGATCGTGCTTTCACATTGTTATAGTTCTATCATGCTAAAACATCGATATCCATGACTGTACATGATTGAACATGTATGTTAAGTGAACAACTCTTTGAAGATTATAACACTCGCGGAAAGCTTATCGTTTGAACCTTGCATTGTGCTGTAACACCCCTCAATGTTACAACACATGCAGTGTTCTGTAACATTGTCAAACGATTTATTACATGCGATATAATTCAAAAATACCTAGATAAAAACAAGATAATTAACGAATGTCTCATGCAATATATTCTCTACTCAAATCTTGTCGATTTCATCCAAAAGGTTGTTTGATTATTACGGTAAGGCACTAAGGTTTATAAAAGACTATCGAGTTTAAAGATTTTGCAACATTCTGCCCGCATGTTGCAATATCAAATGACTTACCTCAATTATATATTAATATACAAATATTCTATGATATATAATCGAGATAATTCACTTGAATTCCTCGTCACTTCATCTGCATCCTCCTCGTCTCTTCATCTGCATCCTCGTCGTCTCTTCATCGGTATCCTCTCCTCTTCATCTGCATCCTCTCTCCATCTGCATCCTCTCTCCATCTGCATCCTTCTCGTCTCTTCATCTGCATACTTCTCTCTCATACCTCCTCTCTTCATCTGCATCCTTCTCCTCCCTTCATCGGCATCTTCGTCTCTTCATCTGCATCCTCCTCGTTTCTGCATTAGCATCCTCCTCATCTAAACGAAGTACCTAAAAATCAAGTTACGATTATGACAGGAAAAAAGTAACATACTTCTCTATATCCTTCTTGATCCTCCTTGTCCGTTCTTGATCCTCCTTGTCCATTCATTTTCATCCTCCTCGTCCCTTCATCTGCATCCTCCTTTTCTCTTTATCTGCATCCTCGTCTCTTCATCTGCATCCTCCTTTTCTCTTCATCTGCATCCTCGTCTCTTCATCTGCATCCTTCTTGTCTCTCCGTCAGCATCCTCCTCTACTTTTCATCAGCCTCCTCCTCATCTAAACGAAAAATCTAAAAACAAGTTAAGATAAGGACAGGAAAAATAATAACGTACTCCTCTATCTTCTTCCTGATCTTCATCTCTTGTACCTAAAAAGACTGAAGAAGGAGTTATTTGTTTAATGGAAAAAACAATTGTTTAGCACATACCACTGCCAGAGTTCGCGTTCTTTCACTGTCCGTACGCTCGACACTGTACATGACTGAACATGTATGTTAAGTGAACAACTCTTTGAAGATTATAAGACTCGCGGAAAGCTTATCGTTTGAACCGTGCATTGTGCTGTAACACCCCTCAATGTTATAACACATGCAGTGTTCTGTAACATTGTCAAACGATTTATTACATGCGATATAATTCAAAAATACCTAGATAAAAACAAGATAATTAACGAATGTCTCATGCAATATATTCTCTGCTCGATTTCATTGAAAAGGTTGTTTAATTATTACGGTAAGGTACGAAGGTTTATAAAACATCATCGCATTTGAAGATTCAGCAACATTTTGCCCCATGTTGCAATATCTTGTATACTCTATAATATATATTTGAGGTAATTCATTTGAACGTTTCTCAAGTGAATTACCCACTTTATCTCACCTACTATAACATCACTTGATGCTACAGTAGTTCCTCTCAGGAGCAGGGACGGATTAACCAAAGGAAGCTGTCTAGAAGCCTCCACAAACAAGGGCCTTCACATTATTCAAAGGAAGAATAAACATAGTTGCTTTAAAGACGAAGGAAAAGCATTTAGTTTATTTGTTGGATCAATTTCAGCTGATGAAGAACAGACCACGTATGACAACGAATCACAGTAAACTCAGCCATTTTGCTCTGATGAGCATTGAGGACAATATTCTAACAGAAATAAACTTGGAAGAGCTTATCAAAGACTGCCAGAATAAAATCGCAATAACTACTTTATCTCAAGTAGCAGCATTCACTCGTCGTATGCAACCGCTTTACACGCTATATTCGAAGTTTATACTTTTATCAAATGCTTTACGAAATTTGAAAGTAAATTTTACTGTTGAAAAATGAGCAGCACATTGCGTTTAGAGTAAGGGAAAGGGGATCTTTACTACGTATTTTTGCTGCTCAGAGCCTCCACACATCTTAATCCGGCCCTGCTCGGGAGACATAAAATATTATATCCTTTTGTCACAAAGACAAAAGGATTGAACTTGCTATTTCTAACAATGGCCAGTTGTTAGAAATAGGCAAAATGCAAAATCATCACACTTATGTGAATGATAACGATGAATGCAAAAATGAAAATATTTTCTGGACATGTATTGAAGAGGTCCAATAATTGATGTCAAGAATAGTGGGAAACTTTTGGCAGTTTCGTTCGTGTTCTCACTTCAATATGTAACTGAAACTTGACGGCATTTTTGTGCTCCAAGATCGAAACATAGAAATACTAAGAAACCAAAGAAATCGATCATTCCTTCGAACAAATAGGACTCATAACGATGCTTTGAATATGCTGTAACGAGAATTCACATCACAATTGGGTTATACATTTTAATTCATCGATCTCAAACTTACATCTTTATGTCATCGACGATTTTTCTGTATTTAACCTGCCGCTTTCAAACATGGCTAAAATATCTCAACCGTGTCATGTCTTCAGTTGCTCGTCCTTTCCAACAAGTAGTCGCATTTCTTGAAGGCTGTCTTCGACTTTCAACAGACTTTCACCTTTCCCAGACGAACAGCTCGGTCAAATAGGGTTATCGAAGTGAAAGACCCTACTTTTTCTTCTGATAACTTTCATATATCACATGAATTAATTATTAATTCATTCGTCAATTTTGTTCAAACCATGATAAAAAGGGATTAAATTCATTGATTGCATGAAAATATATGCAGGGCAAAGACAAAAGGAATTAAGCCTGGTTATAAGTTAACTAACGACATTGGTTAGTAAAAGAAAGCAAAGCCTTTTCCCCAGAGGTTTGGAGAAAACAAAAGAATATTTCTTTTGTTTCCTCAATGAAGAGTTTGCGAAATCAATGATTGTAAGGTTATGACGGCAGACAGAGCATGTCGTGTTGTGGTAAATTTTATCTAGTATGAACAAAAAATTATCTCACCCAAAACCGCAATTCAATGCACCATAGCTAGGAGAGTTATCATTTTCTCCCACCTGACCACCTTTATTCAACTTGTTACGTCAACAAATAAATTAGAAGGCATATCAAAAGCTTGTAATTTATTCACGTGGGAATCACCCACATGTTATAGAAAAGCTTTTGTCGTGCTCAATACTTATTATGAACATTGGAGCCCTGCTTATTGCAATAATATGACTTGCCATTGTAAAATGTAATGTAATAATTTAACGAGAGAATTTTATTGACAGAACTAAATGGTAGCAAGTGATTCATTTTAGCAATCCTAATAGGATGGGACAAAGGGAAAGAATGAGAGGTAAGTTCGTTTTCAAATAATTATCTTTAGCGATGTAACGATAGCAGGACTTTCAAATGCGGTAAATGTTTTGTGGGAAAAGCGCGATTGTTTCTTTTCCGTGGTTGTAATCCTTAAAATTACATTATTAACAGTAAAACTGAACAAATTGAAAGTTATCTTTTCCTCTTATATTCCTTGTTCAACGAGTTCATTTCCTTGATCAAACCATGATGAAAATTTATCCAATCACATTTACATTAAAGTTTTTTAAACTTCAAGATTTCCCCACATTCATTTAGCTTAAATCCCGCATGATAAACGAATGATATCTCTAATCAAAGATGATCACGCAGTCTCCGATTTTTTAGGAATGAAAATAGGTTTTACGTTAATTGGTTTATGTTTGGCGTAAGGTGAAGCCGGTGATCCAACAATTAACACGTGATTACCCTTTAACCATAATCTCCACATGCTTTTATGAAATCCTCGAGCATCTAAGTCCCAGATTCGTAAACATCTCGCTATATTATTCCATGTTGTCCAGTCGTTAGCATGTTTCATTTCAATATAAAATATATATGTTTTATCAGATGTTTCTGGAACAAAGTCTTTCTCGTTCTTGCAAGGATTTTTACTGTGATCCAACGGCTCTGCCAACCTGTAAAAAACAGTAGATAGACATCTCTAACAATCAAATGACATAAATATACGCACTATGATGATAATTAGATCACTGAATCACTAAGTAGAAATCTCCTTCATTGTCCTGTGAAAAGAAAAATATTGTTGTCAATATTTTATAAAATCCTGCAAGACATACCCTACAAGCCGTTCAATCTCCTCATAATTTTCTTTTTTCAACAATCCAACATTAAACTTAACTTTGAGATATGATCCACTACAATTAACAATCGTCTCACCTGATCAAATTCAGCTAATTCATATCTCATTAATTCAAAAACTGCATAAAACATTCATTAAACTTAACGTTAGGTTCAGTATTCAACGTATGTTTTTTGAAATAGGATTCTTGAAAAAACACATTCATATTCAGGCCTTTGGCGCCAAAATGCTAGGTTCTTGAGATATCCGGAATGATACATTCACGTCCCTTTTTGTTGCTGTCCATCCTCATCCACATATCCCAATCCCAAAATGGATCAGGGGTTGGCCATTTTGGCTCAAGTTCTTCTTTATAAAGTCGTCGTTTGAGCAACCTGTTAATGCAAAGAGAAATAATAGATAGAATGAAGTTTATACTATCTATACATTTATAGTGCTGCGTGATGTCATTGTGGCGTGATGTCATTGCAGCGTGAGGTCATATTAGCGTGATGTCATTGCAGCGTGATGTGCTTGTAGTGTGATTTCATTGTAGCATGACGTCACTGTTGCGTGATGTCATAGCGTAAACAAAATCATTTGTAGTAATAAAAATTCTCACCAGCCTAAACCAGGCATTGTTTCTACACGATATAACATTGCAGGATCATTACATGTGTGATCATAACCCTAAAAATAGAAATACTTGTTTTTGCAATTAAATCATTAATCACATAAATTAGTTTTTCAATGGATGTACCATTTCTAAGGTAAATTTCCTAAATTTCACTTCGTGATGTGCAAGGAAGGAAGCTCGATAAAGACAAACATAATGTAACCAAAGAAAACTACAATAAGATAACAGATTCTTGTTAGGAGATTTCCATTTTCCATTATAATGTGAAAAATATTTGAGATTTATTTAATTTACATTCTGCACTCTCGTCAGAGATAAACTGGACTCGACAAAAAAAAACAAAAAGAATCAGAGACGTTCAAAACCACGTTAATAAAGTTGAAAACGAATTAAAATTTTGTTGTGTAGCAAACACAAGCCAACAATAGAGTAAAAGACTAAAAGATGAAAAGAATGTTGTTAGCTTTTGTTTATAACAAACCTGATCATTCCACGCCGATATACAGTACAGACTTTCATCTGTATCCATTAAAGGCAAAATTGATTAAAATAACTAAATATGTCCACAGATACGTCTAAATCTTCTTCCAAAATAATCATATACTGAGCATTGGGATAAGCATTAAACGTCTCTGTCAATGTTCGCTTGTAATGCTGGGAGGAAGAGAAAATACATTTAAAAGTAATAAAAGGAACGAAAAATTTTGATTACATCGTGTAAACACTCTCAAAGAAAAAGCCTTACCAACCTGTGATATTCTAGCGTTCTTACTGCTAATAGGAATATGCTGTACGACTTTTACATCATATAGCCTTGCCACAGCAGCTGGTTCTTCAAAGAATCCATCAATAAATACAGTAAATAACTCCTTCTTTGCTCCATGAGCTGACAACATTGACCGTAAGCCACGATAAAGATAATGTGGCCTGTTACTAGCAATCACAGCAACAGGAATGTCTTGAACTTTTCTAACTTCAACGGTGTTGTTTTAATTTCAATTGGAGCAGGATTATTACCTACAACATTTAAGAACATATTCTGTCAGTTCTTCATATCGTTCTAACATTAGCTGCAATAACAGTGATATCCTTATTTCTACAATTTTTTCCATGGAGTATTCTCAGAATATTTTCTCGAAGTTTTAATGCACAATGTGAATGGCAAAATTACTGAACACATCGCTGTACGTTCAATTAAATAAGAAATCTAATCCTACATGGATGTAACGAAAAGATACTTACAACTGCATACACTTCCATAGCCTTCAAACTTATCACAAAACATTCTTCTTCGCTTTAATTCTTCACTGTCATCCCAAGCACAATGAGATTGTTCAAAAGAAAGCCAACATTGTTTTGAGTTTTATCAGCAGAAATTTACATCCAAAATCGTAAGTAAAGTACAAGTGAAGTGTATGCATGAATGTAATATATCAAAGTCAATTTATGCGAGTATGTGATGCGATTTATGTCAATATGGCATATGGTAAGCAGATTGATGCTTCTAAAATTGTTGTTGACGAAGGACTTTTAGCTATAATTTCTTTAGTGCTTGGGGAATCGTGGCCGTTATATGGCAGCAAAATCCTACA